GCGACTTGTCCGCCGACACTCGCTTCTTGTCGCGCGACGAGCCTCCTGCCGGGTACCCAAGCCCGCGTGAGGCGAAGTTTTGCGATGTGCGGAGTGAAGGAATGGTTCACGTAGCCTAGGCGTGGGTCGACCTTGTTGAAGCAAAAGTCCAAATAGGGTTCGAGCAAAGACTAGCTTCACTCTATTCGTATTAAACTGCAGAAATGGACTATGCACAAGCTTGACTTAAGGTCACATTCCACCATCATCTGGATGTGATTAAAAAATAAAGCGGAGGAGCGGAAAGAAGTGGCAGCGAAGAAAAAGGGAAGCGCAAAAAACATTGCAAATAGAGAAATTGTTATTTTGGGAAGTGAACCGCTACAGCGGGGAGTGATTGAGCGCCAAGATGAGAGAACAGGTGCGAGAGCATAGAGACAAGCGAGACGTAGACACTTCGAGCGTAGATCTTTTGCGTAGTCCGTAACAGAGGAAGCAGGCGGTGGTTAGATGACAAGTCCCTAGCACAAGATCTTAGCCATTGTCGTGCAGTTTCGAGGTCGCGGAAACCTCTCCTCTTGGGCCTTTACTAGTCCTTGTACTAATTGCCGCAGAGATCGATCTAGACTATTTGAAGAATCAGATTTTGAACACCTTTGGACACTAATAACAATCTTTTTCAGGGTAAACCCAGCCGCCGATTATCTGCCAAAAGCAGCATCTACCAGCTCTGTAAATAAGGTGATTCGGACAGCGGTGAGTGCATTAAAAAATGATAATAAACTGATAATTAAAAAAATTAACAACTTTCGATGTTGAGTATAAACATATAATTTGTAGCAAGGCGGTCGTCTTCATGTCGCGAAAGTCCACACATGGGGAGTGGAATCTGACGATGAGGTTCTCGACGCTCGACATCAGTTCAACGGTCTACCCGATTTGAGTCGCATACGGTCAAGCGGCCTATCGCCACAAGCGATTCGTCGTAACGAAATGCAGATGCGAGAATCGAGGGACGAGTTCGTCGATGAACGGCAGGTAATCGCTTTGACGATCGTTTTTCTCAAAGGATAGTATTTCAACGTAGTGAGGTATTGTTATACTGTAAAGTGGAAGGTAGAATTGATTGGGTTATGCCCAGATTCATTACTATGGTATCTGCGTGGCCTCGATTAAGAGCGCAGCTCTCACGCAGAACGTATTCAAATTAGGATTTTTTTGTCGAGGATATTAGGGTGCCGGCGGAATTGGAAGTCGAAAAAACCGCTACTCTCAAACAACTTAAAGGACGAATTCACGCTGGAAAGGCAACCCATTTCAAATTAAGTTAGCGATGGTGAGTGGTACACTAAAGAAGGAAAAACCATGAGAAACGGCCCAGAACCCGAGAAATGGGACCCCTTCCTTGCCCGTTGATTTGAGCATTGATGCGACTATCATCGCTGTGCCCTTCTTCAACAAAACCAGCGTCACTGTCTCTCCTCAATCGCCCCACTATATTCTCCTCGGCGGGCGCGATGGTTGGTATCAGATCCATTCGTGCTCGTACGATCAGACGACTCACTAGCGGCAACCCTAGTTAAAGCACACAGTCCAGTCACGGAAAATTTTGAGCGCCGGGCCAAAACTACATACAGTAGCGGTCAAAAGTCTTCGCCGAAATTGTTTTTCGACTGTAACTTTTTTCCGCTGAATCAAATCAATTCAAATTTTAATATGTTTTAGAGATATTCCTACTTCACTTAAACGGCATATTTGTTTCGGATTGAGAGAGATGTCTTAAAGACATGCAAAAAAGAAGCATGTTCGCACTAAGAATTTCTGGCGGCGGGCGTATGGAGCTTGGAAAAATTGGGAAAGAATCCAAGTAGGTTTTCCTAAAAATTACTCCTAGCGACCTTCCATTCACACAACATCTGTCGTCATGATCATAACACTGGCAGGTCCAATACTTTGTTAATGATCTTCTGGGTACGCTGAAATACTAACAAGGCCTAAGTAAGGAATCAGTCATTGAATGCAGTGTCTACAAGGGCAGCTTCCTCCACTTCTCTTGAACTTTGACGAGTTTCTCGCCCATATTTCCGGCTCTTATTTCCACCAAAGGTATCCCTATCCTTTCCCATAATGTTTCCGACGGCGCTCAGGACATGGGTGTGAATTGTTCCCTTCGTTGAAAGCGCGCCATGCTGGCGAAGCCACTCCTTCACAGTAAAGGTGCGCGTCTCGCTTCTCTTCGCCCTCTTAATCCTAGAAGGTGTCGACTCAAGCTTTTATGACCAAGGCTTCAAGTAACACTGTGACTAAGTAATCTCCGTTCTAGAACACCGCAAACTGTATATCTGCCTTCACATGATTGCCGAATACTGCGAAGTTAGTCGGCGGTGAATTGGTCGGGGGCGAAATGTGCTTACGCACACCTAAAGTGGGGATCCCCATAGGGCTACAACGTCCTGCGGACCAACGAGAGTGTAATTCAAGATGTTTACCCGGCGACTGAAATAGGAATGTGTGCGGTCCTGAGGAAAAACATTTCCGATCCAAGGAATTAACTGCCGTATGTAAAACTTGGCGGAGGCTCGCGTGTGGTAGTCCGTAAAAGAAGTTTTACAACTGCACAGGATTAGAGAAGTGGAGGATGCCGACGTTTCAGATAGATTCTGGAAGGAGTTTCGTATTTGCCTCGGTATGAAAAATGCTACGTACTGCTGGTTGCGGATCTTTTGAGTCGCCCTTCTAGCTCATAGCGGAGCGACCAAAAGCAATCCGCACCTTCACTTGTGATATCTGTTTCTGACCGCATGGGCGCCTTCAGACGCAAGGTAACAATACCAACGCCCACAAATACCCGCGAAGCCAATCGACCATTATACGGGAGAACTGATGGATAGCCTTTGTTGTCAGATATAAGACGCCCGGAATCACTGGGCGCCAAACTCGTCAAAGTTCAGAGACAGTGGCTGAAGCGTAGCCCTTGTATAAGCGGGCGCCGGCCATGCACATTCCATACTTAACGTGATCGTCCTTACTTAGGCCTTGTTAGTATTTCAGCGTACCCAGAAGATCATTAACAAAGTATTGGACCTGCCCAGTGTTATTCATCATGCGTAAGATTGTTTTGTTGAATTGTAAGCTCGCTAGAGTAATTTGAAACCTACTTGGAATTTGCTCATACGCGAGAATTTCTAGTGAAATGTTTTTTTTTCATTCTTAACTCTCTCTCAATCCGAAACAAATATGCCGTTTAAGTGAAGTAGGAATATCTCTAAAACATATTAAAATTTGAATTGATTTGATTCAGCGGAAAAAAAGTTACAGTCGAAAAACAATTTCGGCGAAGACTTTTGACCGCTACTGTATATGGAAGTTTTAGGTGAAAAGTGGTCGAACGTAAAGAGAAAAAGTGAAGAAAACGCCCAACTGGGGCTTAGACAGGGACATGCCCTGCCGTTTAGGGAGACGTGTGTTGGACGAGTTGTCCGAACCTGCCCGTAGTACATGCGCTTTAATTGCAACTGCTGGCAAATAGCTGCATGCTTGCAAATACATAACTACTTGCCAGCAATCGAAATTGAAGCGCTTCAATTGCGTTCTTATGGAATCGACCTCATACAGCGCGGCGGTCCCGCAACGATCGCTAGTCAAGCGCGGACTCTGCACAGCGTATGTTGGGCGATCCGCCTCTTTATGGGTGATCCGCCCCCTCCAAGAGGACTTCGACCCCTTCCAGCGCATTTTAGAGGTAGGTTTTGAAATTAAAGACATTTCCTATAAACTTTAGTTGGGCTGGGGCATGTTTTGACCGCCTAATGACCAAGTAGTTGAAACCCTGCCTGGACTGTTGCTTTAAGGCTCAGTCTTGGCCCACTTGCGCCGAGATTGACCTTATAGTTGCCAGTAGTGAACTGTCTTCTCTGCCCCTATGCGCTACATCGGCACCCTTAGGAATCCGCCCTGTCCCTCAAACTAAGTGAGCTTACTCCCTCATCTACGACTCTATATTTTTACCTCGTGAAACTCGTCCTTAACGGTTCGAGACGAGGGGCAATGGAAGTGGGCAACTTATTGTAAGTGCATGTCGAATCACAAGAAAAACAGTGCCAAGCGTTGAGTGAGGCAGTGAAAAAATTGAATGAAGCATACAGGGGACCCTCAAGAGACACTTATAACGTGCTCTGAAGTGTAGCGGGTTTCCAAAACGCCGGCATTGTCAACGTTACCTGCAACGTATCTGCCTCTGCCGCGAGGCTTGCGTGCTGATTATCAGAGACCATACGATTTGAGTGCGGCTCCCTATGGAGATATGCATTTTTAGAAGCTTGCTAAGAAGATTTCCAGGATAAGGAAGACTGAAGGTGAAATTTACGGGGCTGTCGTTGAAAGCATGGCAGACACGGAACGCAGCTCGCAGCGAAAGAGATGCCACTCCATGGCATTGCCCCCCGGCGCGCTTAAGATTCGGCGCGGTCAACACTCACTGATGCAGCCACTCGCCGCAGGTCTTCAGCCAGTTCGGGTTTTACAGTAGAGAGGCGTTATCATTGAAGACGGAAGCATCGATGAGAGTAGCATCAATGCGGTAACCAACGAGCAAGTAAGTGTCCCATTTCTCGGGATCTGGGCCGTTTCTCATGGTTTTTTCTTTATGCGGACATCGCTGTCACCTCTACTTTGATTCTAATGGGCTGCCTTTTGATTGTCAACTTCGCCTTCAAGTGGTTTCAGGTGTTACTCCGCCACCACAAATTTTCTCCCCTTTTCTAGCTATATATTCTCTATATGGAAAAGCCGAATTATCGTAGCCACTGCCCTTGAAAAACGTCTCTGTGCCCAAGCAGAGGCTGAAGTCAGGAGCGCCATCTAAGAAGTTGTGTACCTAATTGATTTATTTACAATAATTCTACATACTTCACTTCTTCACCAAAGCAGGGACTCCCTTTTGTACGTGGAATGCAGGAGTCATGGTAACGTTTTTTAAAGCGGTTGGTTACGATAACTTGGCTATCCAAATGGGGTAAACGTAGTTGAAGTAGAAGTGCCAAGTATTGGGTAAACCCAGCCAGGTCGTTTTTATGCAAAAAAAAAAAACAATGAAGCCGCGGTAAAAGGAAAACGGGACTTCAATCTATGAGTCAGTGAGCGACCCTCCTCTATTTCCTACATCACGTCCATTTTGTCATTGTTGTTGAGCTTGCCAGATTTCATTTGGTTCTGTACATATTATCACACTATGATATGTTGCTGTGGTCTTGCAGACTCCACCGAGTCTAAACTAAGCGAAGCTTCGCTGCTATCCAAAGTTAATCCCAAGAAAAATGGAGCTGTGGTCTTACGATTGACCTGAAAAGTGAATAATCAATAATTCCTCGAAATTTTCAGGCCTATGCTCTGAGCCCGCCACAACGTCGCCGCAGTGACACCGTTGGTGCCAACTACTCAATGCCGTCGAACGGTTACATGGGAGAATCCCCAGTCGGGTCGCCGTATGCCCCTCGTCGCCAGCCAGCTCCTGCCCCCACGTCGCCATACTCTGTACCTCAACGCCAAACTGTTGCTGCTCCAACGTCGCCGTATTCACCCCAACGGCCTGCGCAACCGCCAGTGCCACGTCATCAGGAGCAGCCATTGTCACCAACAGGCACTCGCCGGGTTGAAACCATCGTTGACTATGAGAAAAAGAAGCAGGGACCACCAGTGGTAAGTTGACATTCTGACATGGTAATCTACTATGTGAAGAATTGTTCCTCATTAGCTAATCAAGGAAATGAGAATAGAATAAATAAAAGAAAATAAGGAAAAGGATAGTGTCTTCGTAGAGATGATATCGATTGTCAATATTTTTGGGTCATACTTCGCGCAAAACGGAAGTTTTAAGGCAATGATCACTATGGCTGGAGGGCGGTGCTGTCTTGATGACGTCATTGAACATCATCGGTGGAGAGGCGGTCTCACCTATCAAACCGCACCGCCCTCCAGCCATCGTGACCACTGCCATTAATCATGAGCATAGTTAAAATTGGGCGGAAGTGGTGCAGTGACAAGTGGCGCGCTCACCACGCGAGCGGTCCGGGATCAAATCCTGGGTCGTGAGTCGCCCGGGCCAACCAAGCCTTCCATCCCTCCGGGGTCGGTTAATTGGTACCAGACTTGTCTGGGAGGATAAAAACACTGACTTGAACATCGGCTGGCCCCCGCAAGTCATTGTATAGGCCACATCGCATTCAAACGCCACTGCGAATGTACAAATGGAAGTAGAATGCGTGCCGCATCCCAAAAAGGGATTGATCAACGGCAAATGCTTTATCCTTTATCCTTTATTAATATTGAAAATTACGAAATTTCCTAGAATATTCATCTCGAATGCACTCCCTATAGTGATTTAGATCTTTGGACCATAACAATTAGAAGGATAGAGACAGCAATCCAATGCCATATTCATTCTAGGTCAGAACAACGGTGGAGGGGAAACTACGGATGGAAAAGATCGTTGGCGCCGATCTGATTACGGTCGAACAGTTGTGTGTCGAGTGCGTGGACAGTTCGTGACACGGTAGGAGTGTGAGAGTTGTTTTCATGGAAATTGAATTCTAGGCACTCTTCAAAGGCTATTAGAACTGAAATGGGAAAATGTAGGCGCTACGTAAATGTCACATATTAGCGAACAAAAGGAACCGCGGGCCGCAGTTTTGGCATCTGACCTTTTTGGCAGGCATTCTACGATTTAATGTCTAACAAAGGCGAGAGGATGCGAGATAGAATCGGCATATATACTCTGCAAGTCCCGCGCGGCCTCCTTTTGAAGGCGTACATTGGCCGAAGATGTGTGTGGGCGACGATGAGAAAGCTCCTCGGAGCGGTGAAACGCCCAACTTTGCCTTCTGTGGTCAATGCACATCAGTGTGGTTAGCTTAGGAGGCTGCCAACAGCTGTTCACGCAATGGAGAGTTCATTGTACTCGTGGGCAAAGGTGTGGCCTTTTAGTCCACTGGTCATACAGTGGTTAAGGATAAGAGGAGAGCTCTGGAAATCTGCTAATTGTTTCGGTCCGGTTTTGTGGCCTATTGTTGAAGGAAGATTATTCGCGGCAAATCTGGTGGAATGAGCGCCTGAATGGATGCTTGCCGCTCTGCCTGGGCTATCGGCTATTCTGAGTAAACCAGTTCTCAAATTATGCCAAGGACAGAAAAAGTGCCCGCTAATCCGCATGTGAGCGTTATCTAATCGCACGTTTCAAGAATGCAGCGCAGAGACAAAAAGAAAAGGAAAGCGCCAAAAACAAAAAATTAAAATTAAAAATAATGAAGTCGTTTTTCTCGGAAATGGGTTCAACAGTTTAGGAGACAGCAGTGGACGTTGAGGAGAGAACATTGGTGAATCAGGTTGAACTAATAATACAAAGCGATAGATTGTTGCAGAGGACCAGCCGGGCGAGACCGGCGGTCACGTAGCCGTTCTTATGGCCGTCCTCCACCCAGCACAACTCTCGGGTGATGTCGCGTAACACATGGTGGCATTTTGGCGGGGGTTGTCCTGTCTACACCGTTGAAATCCCGACTGTCCGATCTAGTAACCACCTTCCACAAAGATCGAATTTGAACTACGCTCTTCCACCTATTCACTATTCGATTCTATTACCTTTTGCTTCCTAGCATCAGCAACCTCTCAATCGCCAGTAAGCGGGATTTCTGGGGATCTGGAAGGTGTAGATAAGGAGGGTAAGAAGATGAGCTGGAAGGAGAAAAGGGTAATATTTAGAAATATTCCCTATCACAATGCTTGACCCTTGCTAGGATACCCACAAATCCGGGCGCGCTCTAGTATTTTGCACATATTGTTTGGATCACGTTGAATGCCGTTAATGTTCCATGTGTTCCAGATCAAATCGACTATTGGAAAGAAGAGCCTCATTCTTGAAGAGGTATTTATTTATTTCTTCTACTTGCTATTTATTTGTTATTTATTTATATTTATTTCCAAAAAAATTAGATGTTACTTCTGTATAGGACCAGCTCCTTTTTCATTCGAAAAAGTAGTCTAATTTTAGGTGAAAGACGGTCACTCAAAGTTCAAGATCACTTTGATCGAGAACGGCGAGACGAAAATGGAAAAAGAAGCGACACTCGAAATACCCGAGTTTATGGTAAGTTCTCTGCACACTCACTCCTAACAATTGCCAAATTTAACTGAAAATTTCTCGATTTCATTTCTGGACCTCTTAGAGTTGCTTTCCTAACATATGTTGACATTGATTCACTGTCACCTTCCTTTTCATTTGATGAGAAATAACTTTTTTTAAATCCACTGGATCCGTCTTCAATGGCAGGGATCACAATGGCTAGAGGGCGGTCTGGCTTTGAAGACGTTATTGGCGAAAGGGCGTTAGGAGACGGTTCCAGCCACTTTCCCAGCGTACTGGCGGTGTAGTCCACCAATGACGTCATACAGCCGCACCGCCCTCCAACCATCGTGGCCTCTGCCTTTAAGTATCGGCGAATTTTCTGATCCGAGGGATGGATCATCACATTTCAGAACTATACCGCTCCTTTCAAATTATAGTAAGACCTTAGAGAACGTTCATGCATGGCACAGCGTGATGCGATGAGGTTCCAGTGGTGTGGGGTGGCTACAAAGTAATATTTTGTCACAGTGTCCCCATTCATTGCCTCGCATCACGCTGTGCGTTACTGATATGGTCGATAAGGCATCCATCGTGAGGCATGCGCGGTCGCGGTAGCTCTGGGCTCCCTTAACATTTGCAGTTCGTTTTGCGTCCGTCTGGGACTTTCGCAATTTTTCAACTGAATTATCGATTGACTCAGAGTGAGAATTCTCTGTATAATTTAGAGTACACCTTATTAAACTGTGAAGGAAAAGATGAAAATTTTGATAAGTGCTGCCAAATGGAGGAAGAAAGTCCCACACGGCCAGCAGACTGCGCTGCATGGTTGTGTGGTGTTAAAAATGAAAAAAAAGTGTTAAAAATGATCCCTCCATATTCCAAAATTTTACCAAGCTTTAGCTTCCAAAAAACTTCCTTTCTATCCTATTGTCATGAGCTTTTTCTAAGCTCAGAGGAATAAAGTGCCCGCAATTTGGTCAGATGATTCAATGCCGTGACCGCGAATGCCTCAACTCGCCTCTACCTTTTCTATAGAAATATACAAGAACTTCTCCCTAAAATATGTAGAGTATAGCTTTTGAATAGGTGACCCTTCAGGTCTTCCAAACGAGAAAGCCACGTGGGGCAAGCAATTGCTTGAAGAAACCAGAAACAAAGAACACAGAACTGTATTTTCATGACCATTCAACTGATTTCAGAACAAGAAGGACTATCTATCAGAGGTCGGTCAACGCCTTCTGAGGGATCTGCGCGAAGACGCGGACGCCGTCAGTGCTGTAACTCATGTTGAAGTGGAGGTTGTTGAAGATGTGACCAACATCCTGAAGACGTACGTTATTGGTGAACGAGCCGATGACTATGTGGAAGAAGAAATGCCACAGGCGCTTCACTACGAGGCGACTGCCGACAGAACACCGTCTCCAATTGAACAGAAGAAGGTTGAGAAAATCTATGTGGACACACTGACGCATGAAGAGGAGCAATGGCGTGAACCAGAAAAGGCCGAGATCAAACTGATGCAAGAAGGCTATCACTTTGAAGGGGAAGGTGCCCTGAAGAGAACTCGTCGTTTGGAGACCGATGACTCGCTGGAGATTATGGCCAAGGTCAGATGCGCTAATGCGTTCGCCGACTGTGACTTGATTCGACGCGAGGACAGCTCCAACTTCACCGTTCATATTGCCGTTCCTCTGGTTCAGGCAATGTCGATGATTCTGACCAGAAGACGTGCCCAGCGACGACAACAAGAATTCTCGAAAGCGTTTGCTATGGAGCAGGCCGGACAATTTTTCGAAGAGGAATCTTCACTAAGACGTCTTCAACGACGAGTGGAGTCTGCTGAAGAGGAGGATTTGCAAGCACAGACAGTTCAGCTCCAAGAACAAGAAGCAGTTCTCCAGAAGGCTGTGATAAGCGAAGTCGCTGTGGAGAAGGAAAAAAGAGTGCGAGAAATCGAAGCCGAAGGTGGTAGCTATGAAATGGAGCAGCAAGGTTTGAAGTTGGTCGGCGAAGCGGTAATTAAACGTCGTGGAAGAGCTTTTGATTCTGAGTCTTCCGAAGAGATCCTGCCTCCCAAGAGAATATTATGGAAGAACGTGAAGCAGAAGGGGGTCAGTATGCTCTGGAAATGGAAGGAATGACCCTAAGAGGAGAAAAGACTTTCCGGAAAGAAGGCAAACGTTATGAGTCTGAATCTGAGGAGTCTATACAGTGGAACGGTGGTTCACCTACCGTTGTGGATCTGGTCAAAAAGGAGTCCGATTCCTACTTCGATGTTGTGTTTGAGACCGTCAACACTTATGAGCCGCAATCTATGCAGATCAAACGAGCGGTGATGAAAAAGGCATCGTGCGAGGTGAACTCCGCTTTCATGGTTCCCAGCGATGACTCAGAGGAAACTTCAGTAGTCAGAAAGGCGAAATCTGTGTGGAGTGAGTCGTACTCAGGCAAGGAACTTAGTGAGCAGTACGCAAATGTGACGGTAGCACTGCAGAATATTGTGAAGCAGGGAGAAAAGGACCTGGTCGCGGAGTGTAACTTAGCGGCCGTGTCTCGCTCAAAAGCTCAAGGCCGTTTTCGTGAGATGAGAGAAGAGCAAGCGATGATGCTTTACGGTTTCGAAAACACCAAACCGCGAATCGGTGAGGCAAACGTTGTGAGAAAAGAGAAAAATCTACATGCAGCGAGTTTCCTTACTGCAGCAGCAGAATTTGAACACGTCACACTCACAACTGGCTTAAGCCATTCTGGGGAGATGCTTGGAGTTCAAAGCTCGTCGAAGACCCCGAATACCATCAGCGTTGCTGCAAAACTCAATGAAATGTCCTTGGAACATGCGACCAGTGTGATCTATCTTCAAAAAATGCCCGGAATACAGGATCAGAGTGCTGATGGAGTGCTCAAAGACAAGCATGTCAGAGGAGAATTTTTGAGAACTCGGGCAGCTTCGGATAGCGCGATAACGTCTCATCTCGCTATAAAGAGGGAGACGTCTCTACCCTCAATGATAAGCATCCAGAAAAACCTTGCTACTGCCAACACGACGTCATCGGCAATGCGAGCCTGGGCATCTGAAAGTCACGCCATTAGCTCGACACTGATGCTCAATAAGGGAGCTAACGTCCAGACGGCCGCCGTCAAAATTCGCGATCATCATCGACAGGAAGCCATGACACACGTAGCCGAATATGGTCAAGCACAGGAACACTGCGCTGTGATGCTGAAGAACACCGGAGGAGCACATGGAGCGACATCGGCCGCGATGGCTGAAGCGGTCACAGGTGGGTTTATAGACCTAGACACTCGTACGACAACAAAAAGCTTCCACCTCACCAATTATAAAACAATGCTTCCCCCACGGGGTGAAGCGCTTATAGCGTGGCCACAAGCCACCCTTAGATCCGCCTCCTTCCATCTCTCAAAGCTTTCTGAGCACCATAAATTACGTGATGAAAATTTTCATCAAGATTTGCGTATACGTCGAAAAGATGCCGCCTCCGAGGTGACTGTGTACTTCATGTACAAGCAAGTGCTTGGCAATTACGCTATGGCAGCCCTTGGTCTGTATCTTGGCGATCGTATACGGAAAGTACGCGAAGAGCACCTCACAAAAGAGGTGCTACATACCTCAGAGAAGCTTTTCCAATCGGAGAGCCTCCAAACCGAGTACACGGACGAGTTCGAGCGTAGAGAAGCAAGCCGACATCTCGTTACAGGTGAGTGGTGTTCGTTGTGTGGAATCTACCCTGTTCATAGTCTAACTTGCCAAAGCGTCGACTTAGTTGCACTAGTGGTAGTGGTAGTAGCGGTAGTGTAAACGCTATTGATAAGCTGGTAGTGCTTGGGCTGTTGAGCGAGCGGCTAAACGAGGCAGTTACGCGAACATTAACCATTACAGAACGGAGCTATACGAAGGGTCATATGGTCATACAGCTAAGTGATGAGGAAGAGTTTGTGGCTGTAGGCCGCTACAGATCACTAATGGATGAATGTTGTTAGCTTGTAGGATAGCTCACCCTAATCTTGTGATCTTGACTGTCGTGAATGCAACAGTTTGCATTACTGGCTTATTCTGTCGCTACGTAGTCGCGTAGTATTCTTGGGCATGGTTAAGTGCGTGTAGGAAACACATTACTCTATGTAAGTATTCAGCGTAATAAATGATTTTTGCAGACTTGAGAAGCGGCACAAAGGGAATAGAGAAACATGACAAAGAAACAATGACGATACAAGAACAGCAGCAATTACAAATTCAAACAGGCAAATTAACAAAATCACCAGCACAATACGCAAGCGCAACTGCAATCGCAAGGGAACAACAAATTTCGCAGGCAATGGTTTCGATGCAGGAAAGCAAATTTGAAGAGGAGATCGCGACGTTCGGTAGAGTAGCTGCTCGGCAGGAGTATGTTGGCACTGATCGCTTGATAGAGCAAGTTCAGACAGAAAGTGCTGTTGTGAGTGCGAAAGCTACCACTCAAGAAGACGTGGGTGCCAGTGTTGTTCATTTAAGATCAGAAGACTATATCGAGGAATCCCGATTAGTCAGGCCATTGGCAGACCATGAAGCAGCCTCACAACAATTCAGAGAAGCCACCGATGAGTCAGCGGTGGGCTTCTGGACCACCTCTGATTTAGATATGCAAGTGGAAGGTCGATTGCTGCAGAAAACTGCCTCGTCTCAATCTATTGAAAGACGGCTGGCAGCTGTGTCCGAGGAGGACACTGCAGCTGAAGCGTCTTTGGAATGGCAGCCTAGCAAATCTGCACAAGGTGTTTTGAAGCAGAAGGAAGAAGAAATGATTGCGAGAGAATTCAAAGTTAAGAGCGGTGTACAAGATGCGAGCATCATCCGGAAAGAGGAAGTTGCTCGCGGTGATATCACCTTGCTTGACATCGAAAAGGAAACCGTAACTTCCCGAGCTTTCGAGTTTGGGCAAGAAAGTAGCAGTCTTCAGGGTATGTTTGGAAAACTTATTCCCAAACCAGAATCGGCAGAAGAGGTCGACGTTGATCGTGTAGCAAGTGTAACCCTTCAACAAAAGATAGCAGTGACTGCCAGCAAAGAAAGTGGGACTGACAAAGATTTAAAATTGCGTAGAGATGACTCTAGAGGAGAAATCGCCGCAATCGGCATCATTCCGCAAAAAGACTCAGTATCTTGTTGGTAGTGCGTCCAAAGAGGAGTCATGCAGTTTGAAAGGAGAGGTGTTGTCTCAGCAACCTCGCAGTGAATCTAGTGAAGTGCTCGTAATGGGCCGACACGAGGAAGCTGTCCAAATAAAATCGTCGGCTTCCTCTGAAATGGAAGCATTCGGCTTCTGGGATACAAACGTTCCTATCGAAGACACCTCTCGCACGCTACGCACAAAGTCCTACGAATCCTTAGTATTAAGCAAGAAACTGCGAGGATCTACTGAATCACAAACCCAGGTTTCTTCCGAAATCACGCAAGAGGCAAAGGAGGAACGAGCGGTCAAGTGGAAACAGGCACAAAGTGCTTCTGTGGACAAGGCTTTCGGAATTGCTGCTAAGGCCGATGAATTCCTAATGAGCAAGCCAATGACTTCTGCTGGAAGCACAGGTACGCTTCAAGAGCGCCGTGTCGCAAAGCAGAAGCAAATGGTAAGGCAATACAGTGACGAAAGCGCTCTGCTTTTTGGTTCAATAGGTTCACTCACTCCCCGAACACCTGAGTCTGAAGAGATTTCCTTATCACTGAGTGACGTGCCTGTATTAAGAGGTGGAGCTTTCATGATGGCATCCTCTGAAGAAGTCATACAGGCCACTGACAAAATGAAGCGCGATGACAGCGCAAAATCGGCTGAGCTATCCAGAAAGATTGGCGCGTTTGAGAGCGCCAAGCTGAGCAGTAAAGGTAGCACGGAGTCAAAAACTGCGTTGAGCACGATGCATTGCTCAGAATCCCAAGAGAGTGCCTCTGCTCAAGCAACCCTGGCAATGGCCGTGAGGGATGTGATATCTCTTATGTCTCCTGAGAGCACCGAAGAATTTATAAGCTCGTTGTGGAAAACCGGTGAGGTCGAAGGTGGTACAGCATCCGTCCAGATAGGCGTGAAAGAAGCACTTTCCCTGAGCAAAAGTATGCCAGCGATTGGTCAGTTATCCACTGACTACGCTGGCGAACTTACGAAGGAAGTGCGCGGAGAGCGTACTGCTACCTTACCAGAGATTCCAGCCGATGCAACGGGCAGAGCTTTTGCGATAGATTCTCGCGAAGATCATGTTGCTCTTTCAGCTACTCCAAAATCCATGACAAGCTCTGAGGTATTTTCAACCACATCACGAGAAGCCACTTTTGCCAAACTTCAAGAGTATGGACGTGAAGCGGTCGATTTGAAAAGTGTTGTCGGCACACTTTCTGCTCCAGTACAACCTTCTGAAGAGGCAGCTACAACTTTGCCGACCAAGGTACCAGTCTTACTCAATTTGAGTACGAAAGCTAGCTCTGAACATGTTGCAGAACTATTAAAGCTGCTAAGCAAGCATGAGCAGCTGGTTGAAATGAGTTTGATCAAAAAGATTGTGCTGAAAGAAAAGGATAAGTTGAGCGTTGGTGCAGTCCGTTCTCTAAGCACAGCCGTTTCGTTAGCTCTGGAGAAGGCATCTGAAAGTAGCAACATTGGTGCGACCATTGCTGCCAGACTCCACGAAGAATGTAATTCATTCATGCACTTTGCCTCTGAAGAATTTGTGAGCGGTACATGGAGGACTGTAGCAGGTGTTGCTCAAGCGCATTCGCAATGGCCTGAACATTTGACAGCAGTCGTTGAGCAAAAGAGCAAAGCTCCAGCTCTCATGTCCTCTTCTGTGGAAGTCACTCTCGGTATGAGTCCAGAAGAGACAACATTGTACCGTAGTAGACTGCCATTAGTGGAATCGGTTCAGCGCTTATTCCATGTTGAGCTGGAAAAGGCACTATCGGAAATCCGTCGAAAAGAAGCGTCAGAATCGGAAACAGCAACGATACCAGTATCTATCACAGAAAATGTCACGGGAATGGCAAGAGAGTATGGTAAGGCAGAGGTGCTTACTCAAGGGGTCGTCGGAACCCTACAACAGCCAGAAGAGAGCCAAGACTCTGTGGAAACAATACAGCGCAGATTTTCTTCAATCCAAGCAATATACTCAACCAAGGCGTCAAAGGAGGAACACGCTGAACTGATCAGATCTTTAGAACGCTTCCAGGATCACGAGTCCATTGGGAAAATCCTGAACGTGTTGAGGACTGAACAACTCAAATTCAGCGGGTTTGCAACTCGTACTCTTCTTAAGGCTGTTGAACAGGAGTTGAGCAGGGCCCCCGACGAAGTGGAGGTCAGTTGCAATGTAGCTGAAGCCGTAAAAACTGTGCTCTTTTTAGCGATCAAGGAAGTCGTCGATGAAAATGCATTTGCAATTATAAGAAGCTCCAAAAACACTTCTGAGGCCACTTTGGTGCTGACCTTGTCATCCGTCGAGAGGTTAATAGCCAATGTTCCCGCCTATTCGGAGCTTAGCGAAGAAGTATCTTCGCATTTCACACGTCCAATGAGTAGTTCTATAAGCTCGATGATTCCTGTTCAGCATCGCATTAACGTCGAACAGAGGTTTGGCATCAGTGCGGACTCTTTGGCAACGACAGTGCAACGCGAAAGTTCCCAGCTTTCATTCACAGGCACTCTGAAAGAGAAACAACGACAAGAGACAAGTGCTCAAGTGCGGGAATTCGGCCAAGAGTCAGTGGAAGTGTTGGCAGATTTGATGCTTTTGGGGAAACCACCTGAACAAGAGGAAGAACTTGAGCTGATCAGAAAGCAGCACAGTTACATTCAATTCCTTCACAGCGTTGAAGCTACATCTGAAGAACACTTGAATCTCGTTAAATTATTAAGTAAATACGATGATGACGAAGATGTCGCAATTATCATCAGGGATTTGGAATCGGGACGAATCGCCTTTAGTGGTATTGCAACCAAAACTATCAGCACTGCTGTCGAAAAAGAGATTGAGCGTTCTTCACAAAGTGGTGATATTAGCCGAAAGGTTTCGGAAGCCTCCGCTCTGCGATTTCAAGATCAGTGAAAGAGGTAGTGGAGGAAAGTACATACACGATCTTGCAAGCTCAGGATATAATGTCGACTGCACAACTAGCACTGATGTTATCATCACTTGAATCCGAACAAGCAAGAGTTCGAGCTCCTGAAGAAGTATGCACCTCCACTGATCTTGACCTCCTGCAGAGAGCTGTTAGTTCCCGAGACGAAACGCTCCCTGTACGTGAAATCTCAACAATAGAGCGGCGATTCGCCATTAGTACAGAAGCGTTAATGTCCGTTCTCGAGAATGTAAATCAACAGGCTATGAAAGTGCAGCAAGCGCTTCCTTTGAAACTCGCAGAAACTACGAGTACCACGGCTCGTGAAAAGACAGCTGAATCAGTTGAAACCAGCGTTTCTGTGCGTCGAATTGCACGGCCGGTTTCTCGAGATGAGGAAACTGACATTGTTCCTGAAACCTCGAGACGATTGGGTCTTATTCATAGTACAAGGTCGTCAACTGAAGAGCGAATGGAGTTGCTAGAACTGCTAAAGAAATTCCAGGAAGATAGTGAAGTCTCCAAAGTCATCCAGCAGTTGGTAGCAGAAAAAATTGAATTTAGCAGTTCAGTGACTCAATCGATAATCCATTCGATTGAAGAACTTCGAAGGAGGCCTGAAACCTCTGGGGTAGAGCGTACAGTCGCCGAGGTGCTTCGAGATGTCATCTCGAAAGCAGTCAAAGAGAGTCTTCATGAAACCTCTTTTACTATACTACAATCGATGGCGAAATCTAGTACGGCAAGTCTAGCCATGGCGTTGAGTGCTTCTGAAGCTGCAGCACGACATCTGCGTGCGGTCGAAGAAACTGAAACTTCCATCACTTCCGAACTATGTAGAAGCCTTTCAAACATCCAAGAATCTGTTTTACCTGAAGAATATCGTGCCTACGTTGAAGAAAGGTTCGGTATCACTGCAGAGTCCTTATCAACATCGCTCAAGCGCCGCGATGCTCTACAAGAAGCAACCGAAACTCTACGGGGAAAGCAGCAATTCAAGGCAAGCACTCAAACGCGGGAATATGGGCAAGAATCGGTTGAGCTAAGGGGGAACATTGCGGTCGTAGAGAAACAACAGGATGCTGAACAACACATTGAGTCCATCAGAGAGCAACCACGTTACTTGCATGTACTTCACAGCGTGAAAGCCACGTCTGAAGAGATTTCAGATCTTGTGGAATTACTGAGCAAATATAATGACGATGCCGATGTGGCTATGGTCATTGAGGATCTCATGTCTGGGCGAGTCAGCTTTAGCGGGATTGCGGCGAGAACCATTACCGCTTCAGTAATGAAGGAGATTAGTCATTCTCCACAGACATTCGACATAAGCAGAAGGGTGTCAGAAGCCCTCCGCTGTGCGCTTTCTGCTGTTGTGAAAGAGATCACAGAGGAGAATGCGTTCACAATACTTCAAACAAAGGAAGTAATGTCGAGCGCACAATTAGCGATTGCTCTAGCGGAGTTGGATGCGGAGCAGGCAAAAGTGCAAGCTCCGGCTGAAGAAGTAATCTCAGCTGGTCTTGAACTTACACAAAGACCTGCTAGTTCTCTATCAGCGACGCTGCCTATACATGGCGTGTCATCGACCGAACGACAGTTCGTCATCAGCACGGAGGTCTTGATGTCAGTCTTGGAGAACGTAAGTCAGCAGGGAACAATTTTGCGAACTATTCCTGCAATTTCTGCGGAGGAAGCGAGTACAATTACTCGTGAGCCAATAAGTCCAATAGTGGAGACAAACGTGTTTGCGCAACGGCTCGAACAGCCTATTCCGGAGAGTAGAGAAACTACCACTACTCCCAGAGTACCAAGACGACTGTACTTTACTCACAGTATAAAGTCATCCACTGAAGAAAAAATGGAGCTGATCGAATTATTGAAAAGATTCGAAGATGAAGCTGAAATCTCTGAGATTGTCAGGGGCCTAGTCTCGGAAAAGGTCGAATTTAGCAGTTCCATGACACAGACAATCATTCACGCCATTAAGGAGCTCCAACGTACTCCTGAAACTGGTTCTACAGGGTGTACTGTTGCTCAAGTCATCCGGGAAGCTATCTCCACAGCTATCAAAGAAAGTGTACACGAAACTGTTTTCACTGTCGTGCAGTCTGTTGAAAAGGCTTCTGCAGCGGATCTTGCTATTGCATTGAGTCTCTCGGAAGCTGTTATTGCACAACTTCGCTCAGCTGAGCATAATGAAGTATATTTGTGCTCCGAATTGACCAAAAGCCTGTCAGAAATCCAAGCGTCGGTTATACCCGAGTTGCACCGGGCCTATATAAAACAGAGATTTGGAATTGATGTTGCGTCCGTATCGGCAGTGCTTCAACGCCAGGATGCTCAGCAGTCATTTTATGCGACCCTCAGTGAAAAATATGAAGACAAAACAAGTCTTCAAATGAGAGAATTCGGTCATGAGACGATTGAAGTGCACGGGGAACTCATAGCTCTGAGAAGGCCACCTGAAGAACGTGAAGGTGTCGAATCGGAACGAGTACAACGCCGTTATCTGCAGTTGCTTCACACCGTGAAATCCACATCCGAGGAATTATCAGAACTTGTCAAACTGCTGAAAAAATATGACGACGACGAAGATGTTGCTATAATTGTCAGAGATCTCGTTTCGGGAAAAGTTAGTTTCAGTGGACTTGCAATCAGAACTATCACTGCTACTGTAGAAGAGGAAATAAAACGCGCTCCAGAGACATGCGATATTAGTCGAAGAGTGTCGAGAGCCCTTCGTTCTGCCATCTACGCAGTCGTGAAGGAGATCTCGGAGGAGAGTGCATTTACATTACTGAAGACGAAGGAGGTGATGTCAACAGCACACTTAGCAATGGCTCTAGCTGCGTTGGAGTCAACGCAGGCAAATGTTCTAGCTCCCGCTGAAACAGATACCTCTACTGATCTTGATCTAGCGCAAAGGGCTTGTAGCGCTCAAACAACAATAATCCCTATTCGTGGGATTTCAAGAACAGAGCGACAGTTCGCTATTAGCGCAGAGGTCTTGACATCCGTTTTAGAGAACGTAGCGCAGCAAGGCGCAACTGCTCAAATTATCCCAGAAAGCCTTGGTCATGGGCCTACTGTTGCCACAGCGCGTGAAGAAGGAAGCGAATCACTAGAAACTAGAGTATTTGCACAGCGGCTTTCTCAACCTCCTCCTTGCCAGGAAGAAATTGCAATAACCCCAGGAACATCAAGACGGCTCTACTTTACCCACAGTATCAAATCTTCAACTGAAGAGAAAATGGAGCTAGTGGAAATGCTGAGCAAGTTTCAAGATGACGCTGAGGTTTCAAAAATCATTAAAGACTTGACCTCGGATAAGATTGTCTTCAGCAGTGTAGTGACTCAGTCGATAATCCATGCTGTTGAAGAGCTTCAAAAATCAGCGGAAACCGGAGTCGCAGAGAGCATGATTGCCCAAGCGGTCCGCGATGTGATCTCAGAAGCCGTTGAGAAACACGTTCATGAAAGCGTTCTCACTATAGCAGAGTCCATGGATGAGAGTTCCACAGCCGAACTTGCTACGGTACTCAGTAGTACAGAAGCTCTTATGAGCCGTTTGCGTGCCGTAGAGCAGAATGAAGTGTCTCTGATCGCCGAATTGGCTAGATCTATCAGTCACGTGCACGAAGTGGTAATGCCGGAAGAACACCGAGCATACATACGTGAACGATTCGGCGTATCGCTGACAGTACCGCCACCCCCTCTGAAGAAACAGGAGTTGATTCTCAACGAAATGCAAATTCTACATAGCAGAAGGGCGACAGTGGAAGAGACGTCACGATTGAGGAACCTGCTTGTGCAGATGTCAGGTCACTCGGACGTCGCTGAAATCGTCCATTTCCTGGATCAAGAAAACGTGCGTTTCAGTGAGAAAGTTACGCAAGACATGATCAGCAGCATTGAGGAGATTCTATCGAGATCAACCAGTCTTGAAAACATAGCGTCTTCAGTCGTAGAGCGCATACGAATGATTTTAAGCGAGTCGATCAGGGAGTTGACTGATGAAACAACGTTCCGATCCTTCTACGCTACTCCAGCATCCATTTCGATCACCACTCTGTTGGTTGCCGTTCATTCATTAGAGTCAGTGCTTTCGAGGATTTCTGAAACATCATCTGCAGTGGTTTCAGTTGCTGCAGGGACTCTTGTTCCTTCCCATGAAGTTATCGAACGTCGAATTAGCCTGGATGAACGAAGACGCCTGCAACTCTTGCATCTTATTGAAGGCCTCAGAAGAGCAAAGAGTTCATCTGACCGAAACTTTGAGTAGGTATCAACAGCACCACGAAATTAGTGAAATGCTGAAGATTATTGAACGAATGAATGTGGAGTTGAGCGGTCGTGTAACTTCACAGATCATTTCCATGCTGGGAGCATCCAGTAAGGAAGAAATCATTGAAAACGTTACCGAAAGATTGCGAAGTGTCCTATTGGAAAGTATACGGAGATCACCGAAGAAACGGCTTATAGTATGTGGCGCACAGTTGAGCCGACAGCATCCCTGAGTACACTTTTGATAACACTCATATCACTGGAAAAAGTCATTGCAAATGTTGTCGCACCAGTGTATTCCACAACCGATGTCACCTCAATGCATGAGCGGCAGACGTCAGAGGGCATGACGGTAATGCTTCCCGAGTCTCTCAAGACTTCGGTGGATCGTGAATATAAGACCGAATCCTCTCACAAACAATTTGAAGCGAAAAGCGCTGAAGCTTCGGAATATTCGGAAGCAATTAGGACATCAACTGAGAAAATTAGTTCGTCCTCAACCGTTAGGGAGTTTGGAGATGAGACTTCCGAGGTGAGAGTTGGTTTGGGCGTACTTTCTCGCCCACTTCTTCAGAGTGAAGAAACAATAGCCACGTACAAAAAGCAGAGAGAAGTACTTCTGAGAAGCGCTCTGAGAGCCACAACAGAAGAGCAAGAGCTGTTGCTGAAATCATTCGAACGTGCCGGTGATGAAGAAACTGCTGCTCAAATAGTGAAAGTACTGGACACCCTATCAACCAAAATTAGTTCCACTGCTTCAAGTGAAATGCGCACTATGTTGGACACGACCTTGCGTCGTTCCGAAGATGCATCTGAAGCACAGGAAGAACTTAGGGGGAAGCTCAGAGAAACGCTGACACGATGTGTTGGAGAACTGACCGATGAAAACGTGTTTTCCCTGTGGGAAACGAGGACCACTGTGGATACTTCAACATTAGTGAATTCACTGGTCTTATTAGAAAGAGTGGCACTCGACGCATTCGCTACTGTGTTCATGACAACCGACACATCGAGCGTGCTAGAAAGAGAAAGCCAGCAATGCGTCGTAAGGTCTTTCGCCCAAAGGCATAAGGAGATGGCGTACAGATGGCTGAGCGATCAAAAAGCTCTATGTGACTTGGAAATGAGAGCCACAAGAGCAACGATCGACACTTCGGTGACCCTACCGGTCGACACAAAATCAGAAATACAGCAGAGAACGGCTGAATTCGGAAAAGAAGACGTTCGTGTGACGTTGCCGGCGGAATACTTGAGGTTCCTGCCAGCCGTAGCGAGCTCGCCTCAACCATTATCGGCTCTCAGAGGAGACTTAATGTCGATTCTACAACGAAAGAAGCATCTTCAGAAGACGTGCAAATCAGTGCAGACCTTTCCGCACGTGGAAGTTCAGCAGATATTCTTGCAAGCAGAACGATTATTTCAAATGAAAAAGAGTCGCTAAGCGGGCAAGCCACAAAGGACACTCAAATTTCAGCAGAGGTCCAAGTTGAGATTCCAAGTGAGGGCACAAACATACTGTACAGCGCAAAAGATAAACTAGTGGTAGGGGAAAGTATGACTGCCGCACCAGTATCTGAACAAGTTATCTTTGGAACATGGCAATCGATGCAAACACAAGCGTTTGCGGAGATCCTCCTAGGGGAATGGTATAAGGAACTAGAGCAAATGCAAAGCGCAATAGAAGCAAGCAAAATGTCCACAACGGAAATCGAGCAAAGTCTGAGAAAGGTTCAAGAGCAGAGCGTAGAAAAGCAATTAGCCGCATCACAAAAGCAAGTCGACAGCAAGCAATTTAATATAGTAAGCCAGACGCAAACCCTTCATCTTGAAAAATCACCACATGTCGTCAGTGAATTCGCAAATATTCCAGAGGCGTCAAGATCAACGACGACAGCTCACGCACACGAGTTCGGTTCGGAAACCGTCAGCGCGCTGAGTACTCACGGATATATACAGCCGAAACCACAAGAAGGAGGAAACGGCAGAGTCGCTAATCACGCAAAGTCGGCGCCTAACTAACGTTGCTCATTTTTCTGCGAGCAAAGAAGAGACGGCTGAGCGCGAAACGGAACTCACCCGAGGAAGCGAGCTGGAGAATGTCCAGATCACAAGGGTTACTGAGCGTGCTGATACTTCATCACTGAGCGCTCAAGCCTCGCAAGAAGAACAGGTGTTGAAAACTATGGCCCTAGCTAAAGCTGATCAAAAAGGGCACGTTGAAAGGACCGATGCGGAGAAGTTGAAGTTAGAAGCCATGCAAAACTACTAGTGAGATCCGCGAAGAAGCTTCCTACGGAGTGTGGAATACTCTGGACGCGGAAGACATCAAGGCAACTACTTCGATAGGCGTGTCTGTTCAAGAAAAGTCACACAAATCTCTTCGTGCTCCACTCGAAGAGCAAACTGCAACATCAGCTCAATTCTGCGATACAAAATCAGCGGATATTTCGACGGTCGTGAAACTCCAAGGAAGCGATTCCACTAGTCGCGCGTTTGCAGTCGAACAACAACGGTATGAGTCCACATTAAAAAGGGGTGAAACTGCTGCTCACGATTCGTCTATCTTCACCGATGTAGCGAAAACTTCTGGAACAGCGGCTGTTCGCGAATATGGATCCGAGGAAGTTGATGTTGGTGGTGTCGTTGGTTATTTAACACCGAGGAAGCCAGAATATGCTGAAGTGTCAACCGAATTTACTGATACTCGTCGTATACAGGCACTGAGATCAATGGCGGCAAGCAGTGATTTGAGTGTGGAAGAGTTAAAAACAATCAGTCGTAGTGAATCCGTTGAAACAGTGTCTGATCGAAGGATACTACCAAACCAAGAACAAGCGGAGCTGTCAACTGCAGCTTCTTTGGAAGAATCTTCTCAAACGGATTTCAAACGAACAGTGGGAAGTACATCTTATGGAGTTGGAAAGTCAGTGCCGGATAGAAGAAAAGAAACAGCGATGATCTCAGGCAAGGAATCAACGGAAACCTCCGTTTACGGCATATGGGATACCACCATCGAAATGGCCACCTCTCAGAAAATTCCTTCATGGCATGAGCTTGGAGTCTTCTGATGTGGAATTATCTACAAGTGCAAGTCGTGAGGAAGCTATACAAGCAGATATTGGGTTGAGAACAGAACCCTACGATGTTACAACATCTACTTTGCCTGTAGTACAGAAAGAAGGTGAATCGAGGGCATTCACTATCGAAGGACAGAAGTACGCGACTAGTTTACAAAAAGGTGAATCTACCGCCTACGGTTCGTCTGTCCTTGCTGATGTAGGGAAAATTTCCGGAACAGCGGCTGTTCGCGAGTTCGGATCTGAGCAAGTCGATGTTGGTGGTGCAGTTGGTTACTTAACTCCCAGAACAGCAGAATTTGCCGAGGCAGCGACCGAATTTGCTGACACACGTCGCCTACAAGCAGTCAGATCGATGGCTGCGAGTAGCGATTTGAACGTGGAAGGGTCAGAAACAATCAGCCGTTGTGAAGCCGTTGAAACAGCATTTGATCGAAAGATACTTCCAAACCAAGCTCAAGCGGAGCTTTCTACTGCCGCTTCATTGGAAGAATCCTCTCAAACGGATTTCAAGCGAGCAATAGGAACCGCATCTTACGGAGTCGGGAAGTCACTGCCGGACCAGAGGAAAGAAGCGGTCATGATTTCCAGTAAGGAAACAACGGAAAGCTCTGTTTATGGCATATGGGACTCCACCGTGGAAACTGCCACCTCTCAAAAAATCCTTCGTGGCATAAGCTTGGAAAGAGCAGGAGTGGAACTTTCTACCAGTGCGAGCTGTGAAGAGGCAATACAAACAGATGTTGGACTGAGAACAGAACCCTGTAGTGTTACAACATCCGTTATCCCAGATGTGCGGAAAGAAGCTGATGTGAGAGGATTCACAATTGAAAGTCAGCAACTCACCACAACTCATCAAAGATCGCCGGAAGGAGGAGTGGCTATCAGGACTGATAATGATATTAGAGCGATTTCTGCGACTGCTAGTGCTCGAGAGTATGGCAGGGAACAGGCTGAAATGGGTGCCTCACTAGGATTTATTGAGCCACGTATGGAGGAGTTTGATAGCGCATCCGCTAAATTTGATGTGGGAAGGAAGTTGGAGATTGAGCAAAAGATAAAAGCATCTGAAGAAGTAACTGTGGAAGGATCACTGAGCTTATGCAAGGATGAAGCCGCAGTGGGGTCTACTAAATCTATTCAAGAGAACGTCACTGAAAAGCAGGCCAAGGCTACGCGATCAGCTGGTTCTGTTTCGACAGATAAAACCATTAGTATGTCATTAGACAGCCGAATGGAAATAGTAGACGTTCGATTGGAAGACAAACCCTCTCAATCATCTGAAATCAGAATGCATGAGAGCAGTGAACAAGCTGTGCAAGGCTTGTGGCATACTGCACAAGGAGCTGAGTCTTCGATTCTTCTTAGAGAACGAGAAAAATCCACAGAAAGAGGGTCGCTGTCTACGGCTGCCTCTGAGTTTCATGATGTTTCCTTAATGGAAGACAAGACACGTGATGTCTCGGATTCAGTTCACGGAACTATGGCTGAACAGCTACGAGAAACCGCTGTTGAGAGTTACGGTATCGCATCTACGTGTGCATCCTCGGAAGTTAGAAAGCCTGACAGTGAAACATCCGTCAGTGAGCAGGTGTCTGAAAAAACCATCACTTCTATAGTGGGAGGATTCAGAGAATTTGCGAAAGAAGAGGCTGCACTCGGACTGAGCGCTCAAACTGTTCAACCTCCGAGGGAGCAGTTTGAGCAAGAGAGCGTGTCAATTCGTACAACTAGTACGATTCGGTTGCACGAGAGCATAGGGAGCATCTCAAGAACACGTTGCGAGCCACACAGCTGCGCTTGTGAAAGATGAAGAGAACGTAATGCTCCAACACACAGAAACAGATAAACAAGGAATTGTTGATATAGCTAGAATGAAAGCTGCTGAAGAACACCAGGTTGCGGTAGGAATAGATAGAAGCAAGCAAGAGCAAACAGAGGGCAAACCAGTGCTTTTATCAGATATCACTAGACAGGAGGGCGCGTTGACCACCAAAGAGGTTCGAGATGAGGCTGTAGCGACGATGCTAACGACCGTAGACGCAATGCTAGATACAGAAGCGACGCTTAGAAGCCATGCGTTGGAAATAGAACGAACGATTAAAGATGTAGTTGCGACCAGCGATGCTGTCACAGAGGCGCTGTGCGAATTAAGTGTAACTCCTACGGGAGATGCAGTGCGAATCGTCAGCGATAGCGAACTAGTGAGTGACAAGCGACGCTTAGAGATTAGTGAACAAAAGAAGTTCGTAGAATTAGCACATCCAACGCAAATGGCTGACGTTACAGGCCGGCAGACGTATTTCCATCAAGAACGTCAAGAAAGTGCTCACCGTGAATTTGGAAGCGAAGAAAGCAGCCATGTGCTCTCACTCTCTAGAATTGAAGCACCTGCAACCCAGAAGGAACATGAAGAGGTGACAAAGAAGCTCTCAAGAACGGTCTCACTAGAGAGACGGCTACAGGCAACCACAGAGGACCTAACGAGTATTTCCAGCGATATCATTGCTGAGACAAGTGAAGCACAAATACATAAAGAAGTGCCCGATATCTACAGGGCGAAAAGCGTTGGGTGCCTCAAAGCGGCCACTGACGAAAAAACAGATGTAGAGCGACATCTATCACGAAGTGAATATGAATTAAGAACTCAACAGGAGTTCCGTACGTCTCGTGATGAAGTGCTATCATCTCAGAAATACAAAGAGTTCATATCCGAAGTTCAAGGCCTAACTACTCAGTGGGATATCATTGAAACTGACCAAGCAGCACTGATATGTTGGAAGGACATGGATCAGCAGTCATCGCAGCTTCTGACCAAATCGGTATCGGAAGTCGATATTGGCACGACCCTCGATCTGACCGTCCGAAGGCCAGCACGACACGGTGAGCTGGAGTTGCCATTGGAATCTGCAGATTCAGCAATACGAGAGTTGAGCGTTGACGAAACTCGAACTAGTTTCACTCTTCAACGAAGCGCATCTGAACATGCCGCTAAACATACTGCTCCAGATGTGATGACATCCGAAAATCGTGGAATGTTCCACGAATATGGTGAGGACAGTACCAGCACATCTGCAGAGTTCGGAAAGATTCGGCAAAAACACGCTCACAAGAAGATATCACAAAGAGCTTGCCAGATGTGAGAAAGTTCGTCCAAGTACACTCGACGATTGCGTCAGAAGAAGTCGAGACATCGACTGAAAATCTGATTCAAAAAGACTCGCAGATAGAAAGCAGTGGAAAGCTGGTTGTTTCCAGTAATCAAATGGAGCTGCAAAAGAGCCTTGCTGCGTCAAAAGAAACAGCGCTGAGCTCCACAATGAGGTTCCAACGAGAAGACAGCACAGAACGGGTTGGTATTGTGAGTAAGGAACGAATTGTGGTGCAGGGATCAGGTCATGTCTCAGAAACCAAAGACGAAGTGACCTCATCCCAATATGAAACTCACGTGGATGAGTTGTCCGAGTCGAGAACACTCGCTCTTGACAATCGAGCAAGCTCGACGGCAAATCTACGCGCTGTTGAAGAAACAAGTGCACAGTCGGCTTTGAACATTGGACGAGGTGAAGCTGTGCAAGTTGCACGTACTAACATTCCACTCAAAAGTAGTGAAATGCAGGAAAGAAAGTTCCAAATTCAAATGACTAAATCGGAAAAACATCTGGAGCGGGTGGAAGACGAGGATGTTTCCGAAAGCATAAACACCTTGTCGGTAAAGGAACTGGCGTCTGCGAAACTGCATGAGTACGGCGATGAAAATACTCAAATTTGCACTCTATTCGGCAAAATCGTACAAAAGAAGTACGAGAGTGATGAAGCCGAGGGATCCCTGCCGGTACCACGACGGTGGTTGGAGCGTTTTACTTCAAAGGCCGCTGGCGACGAAATAGCGATCATCACATCAATGCTACGAAAAGCCGAGGAACAGATGGATGTGAGGAAAGTGATTCGTATCACCAATCACTTGGAAATGGTGTGCTGCGTGAAGGCGAGCACTTCAGAGGCTGCCACCACAACCACGGCATACTCCAAGTCTGGATTCAAGGAGAGTGCAAGCATAAAACTCAGAGGTCGATCAAAGGAACGCGCCGAGAAGAAATTCCTCGAACAGGAATGGAATCTACAATCAACGGCGTCTGAATGGCAAACGATTCTGAACGATCTGGAAGCGGAGGTGACACAAGCTCAAGCACTACACGAAAGCTTCAGGTTCTCAGCTAAGGCGATGTCAAAGATAGACGCTACCAGAGAGCAACAGATCGCCAGAGAGCAAGCTACAGCCGGCGTGACTTTATCCATGTCCACCGCTTCTGTTGAGAAACAACTGAGAACATTCTCCATTGATCAAGAAGATCGCTCTCTTCAAATCCATCATGTTGATCAAGATTTCGCTGAGATCGAGCAACTTGTCGATGAAATCAACCGGGAATCGGGTGTTCGTGTATCTTTCCGAGAGTACGGGCAAGCTGAGAGCGGTAGCGGTATCACTCTTGTTCGTAGGACTTTGCCAAAGACTCGAGAGTCCTGCAGCCATGTCGTAAGCGTCTCTACATCACTTCAGCAACACTTCGCCACCCAAGCAGCTGGCGATGACAATCGCGAGGCAGTTGTCGAACTAACCCTACCAAGCTCTTCACTACAAGCAGAAATAGTGCCGAAAACCGACAGGAAAGAGTCTGCGAGTTTGTCTGCGAAGCACTCGACTGATTTCACAGTCAGTACTACGGCGAATTACAATAAATGTACTGATTACACGTCTTCCACAATGACCAAGCGGAAGCACTTCATCAGAGAAAAAAGCAGCGAACGCTTCAGGGAAACAGAAGATGGAGGCGTCGAAATTCTGTCCAAATGGGAAGGAGTTGAACGTGACCTTGAAGCTGAGGTGCAGTTACCGAAGAAAATACAAGTTAAATCCAGTCTAGCTACTTTCCAGACATCCGAAGAAGTGCAAACCTTAACGAAGGCGATGGTGTTACCAGAAGAAGTGATGCACGTAGCTCTGTTGAAACGAGTTGTTCCATTTGAAAAGGTTTGCAGACGATTCGTCATTGAGGGATGCAATGCGGAAGCGACCTTCGTTGAAAAGGCTAGGGAAAATATTATTACTGAGACTACGCGTCCAGAAAAGGTGCTCAGAAAGGAAACATGGAGATTGAAGGAGAGCGGTGATGCCAAATTTAACGCAATCATTAATTTGCACAAAATCGATGTACAAAAACCGAAACAAAAACAAGAGATATGCTTGCCAGAGAAGATCTGCATTTCAGCGGCTCCTGTATACATCAAGGCAGACGCCGTCGAGACGGATGTGGTCTGGAGCAATCATCATCTACTCAAAACACCTGATCAATTCACGATCGGCAAGCTGCATATCTCAGCGAATACGGCACCAGCGATGAGAATGAAGACCATGGAGAGCGGTGATGAAAAAGTCCGCCTTGCAGTGGAGCTGCTTGGATCGAAAGGCGGAGTGGATTCATGCCTCATTGACTGGCCCTTGGCGAATAAGACAGAAGGAGTTGCATTGGAAACGGAGGAGTTTGGTGACGAACATGCTGTCCTCTACGCTCAGATGAACTGCAAGGAACTCATAAGTGAGGATATAGAGAAGATCAAGGCGATTCCGAGACGGGATGTACTATCGCTCAGAACTAAAGAAAGCAAAGAAGAAGAGAGTGCAGTGACCACCGACTGGTCAGTGAAACCGCAACAAGAGCAGTTTGGCAAGCTCATCAACATCAGCAACCTCGGTGACAATGTCGAGTTCTCTTGCTTAGAAAGCGGAGAAGAGACAGTCGTTATCGGAATGCACTACGATATCCCATCAGTTCCAGAACATTCGGCTCGTAAATGGATAGACAAACGCTTCGGAGGTGACTACTATCTTTATACCAAAGCAGCAGCGACAGAAGATCGCCAAGCTGCGATAGCTCTCACTCAGAAGGTTCAACTGGAGAATGTTCGTCACAAACAAATACAGCGAATCAAGTCGGAGCTCAGCTTGAGGGTAACAGCCGCTTCAACGGAGGTCACCACCTTAAATCTCAACTACGAGACAAAGGTGCACAGTGAAAATGCATCCACCATCAGAGCCTGTCCAAACCGTGACGTACCATTCAAGGTTCGAATTGCTGGAGAGTCTCGAGGAGTTTGCAAACACCTACTTTGATTTCACAACTAAGGAATCGAGAGAAGCTCTTGAGAAAACGGTGAAAATACCGCTGACCACCGGTGCTGAAGTGCTGAGCTGTGACGCTGCCGAAGACGTACAGATTGAATCCAATCCAGCTCTGGCCATCGAGCCGCAATTCGCAGTTTCTTCTACAGTTGTAAAGGATGCAAATACCATCGAACCCGCTCAATGTCGGACCTTCGAACCGACCTCTGAATCCGTTAACTTCGCTACGAGTTATACAAGAGCAGACAGCAAGGAATCCGTTCTTATGGTGCAGAAGGACATCAACCGCGGCGCCAGTATCACGGTTTCGATGAAGGAGAGCAGAGAAGAGAAGCATACAATTTACCAGCAGTACGAACAGGAGGCAATGAGGGAAGCTGTTGAAAAGATGCATGCGATAGCTTGGTTCGGAGGCCGATATCAGCTCAGGACGGATGCATCCGAAGAGAATGAAGTCAGCGCCAACAGGGAACTGGAGAAAGTTCGAGAAGTCGTTGCTCATTGTGAGAAGAAGAACATCTTGGCCAACAGCCGCTGAACCCCTTCATTTATCAACGGGCGCCAGCTCAGTGATAAATTCAGTGATAGATAAAGTATGGAAGCGCGAAGATGCCACCTATGTGATCTCTAAGAAGATTGCTGCTGCGAACTCAGAAAGCGCTAAATTGAGAGTGGAAGAGAGCGCGGAATTTATAGAAAATATTCATCCTATATTTACAAAACCAAACGAGAAATTCGATTCAGACCGTACCATGTACATCGCGGAACAAGGTGGACGACATGCGTTAAGCACCAAGGCAGCCGGTGACGAAACCGAGAGCTACACTGCCGACCTCGTCAAGCCTGTCATCAAAGAACTCCAGACCCAGATCACCACCATTATCGCCAACGAGACTGCACCAGCTCAGCTGAACACATACTCGAGCAAGACTTCAGAATCTGTCACAAACTACAACCTCAGTCGTCTTGGAGACAAAGAAGCAGACCGAAAGGTGTTCGCTGCTCCCAATAAAGGGATACCTGCAGTGCTTGTGGCCACAGAAACAACAGAGAAGGGTGTGATCTCAACAACTGTTCTTCGCCGTGACGACAGTGTTCACCAAGAGGCTATACTTGTCGACGAAAAGCGTTATGGAGGAGCAGTACAGCTGTCGACGAAATCAGCCAGCGATGTCAGTTCAACCATGGGTGGCACTCTGCTCTGTCCGCGACCTACTGATCTGTCCGCCCAAAAAGTGGTAATAATAGGAAACAGTGTCAGTCCAATCAAGCTCAACACTCTGGCTAGTATCGAGGAAATCCGTGTCGTAGAAAAAGAATGGACTCGTCCAGCTCCGCAATACACCGTAGCAAGGAAGCTTGATGCTCCAAACACAGACTCTTCTGTGGTTACACTTAGAGAAGCAGGCGATAACCACGAAACAACCAACTGTGCATATAATCGTGACTACGATGAGGAACAAGTTGCAAGGACAATGAACGAGAAGAGGAATGGCGGAGCGGTGGCCTTGAACACCAAATATAGCCGCGAGTGCTCTTCTGAGTCGGACGATACGCTTGTCGCTACACGTCTGGCTCTCGTTCATACTGAGAAGATCTTCGTGATTGCGAACACCATTCCCTGGAGCTACACTTTCAACGTTTGCATCCAGCACAGAGATCCAAACCGTCAACGAGGTGTGGAACAAGCCGGACAGCCGCGAAGAGCAGACCATCATTCTCAAGAAAGCGAACATTGGTGAACACACGATGATGACAGCCGGAGAAACAAGCGACGTTATTGAGAACATCATTATCCAGCTGCATAGGAAGAGTGAAAGAGCGGACAGCGCTCTGACACGATTCATACCGTACACAATCGAGCCAACAGCTGTCTCAACGAAATCTTCAGAAGAGTCCTATGTTAGCATTGATTCCAGCCTTCAAAGCATGGAAACCTTCGAGATGGATGCATCGATCGTCATTACAGATCGCAATACCGCTGAATCCCCTAGCCTGTATTGCGGATGCTCTAAAGAAGCATCCACATCAGGTGTATTTAACCTTAGTCGTCTTGGTGATACTCAGACAGTCAGAGAGATGAAGGAGGCGGCAAATCGTGGCCCAAGTATAGCAGTAGAAATGCGCGAATCAACCTTGGTATCTGAAATTACAACTCTAGTCTACGAACGCGATGAAAGTACGGCGTTCATTTCAGAAACTATTCTCATACCGAGAGAAGGCGGCAAATATCTGCTATCGACTGGACATGCTTCTGAAGAAACAGCACGAATCGATAACGATTGGACGAAGAAACGCGTGGACGTACTTGAAGCCAACATCACGAAGGTTCTACGCAACGAGGAAGGACCGATCGAGCTGTTCGCGTCTGCCACAGAAGACAGTGCTGTTGGCGTCACCAGCCAGTTGCAGAAGAGTTCGCAGGTCGAAGCAACGATGACGAAGAGAGATGCTCCACACACGTGGGAGAACCAGCTGTGAAATCGATTCACGAGTCCACAACCGTGGAAGAAGTCAACAATGTCCTTCTTCGCCGAGACGATAGTCACCTGGATGTCGAAAGCGTCGTCAAACTTGCCGCCTATGGTGGTGTGGTGGACTTGCAGACCAGCTATGCAGAAGAAAATCATACTGCCATTACACCGTGTCTCTCGAAACCAGACGATGCCTCTGCCACCGAAATCGTTCGCGATAATCAAGCGAGAGGAATCCATGGACAAGTGGCTAAGCGCCGCCTCCGAAGAGGTGGTCGGCTCCGGTTTTGCCTTGAGCAGTGGCCGCTCATCAGATGAATCCACCGCAATCACGAAGATCGCGTCCAACGATGCAGCACCGGTGATCTTTGGTTCCAGAGAAGCTGAACAGAATATCATCTCAACGAACTATGTCCTTCACAAGGAAGCTAGCAGTGTTTTGGAGGAGTCGACGTTGAAGGAGGCGAGATACGGCGGTGGAACATACCTCTCCTGCCAGGCAGCCAGCGAAATTTCGCCTGACACGGTCAGCGTTGGCCTCAGAAATGAGGACAAATCCGAGGAGAAGGCCATATCGCTCAAGATTGCTCGTGAAGAATCTTCGTCTTTGGCCACGAAAGCCTCATCAGAAGAATCGATCACAGCTAACAAAGATGTGCTCTGCGCTCGAGTTGCTGTTGAGGAAGTGCACGAAACCAGAAGCGAAGCGCGCACCGTCGAACCAACCGCGCTGGCCTCGAAATGTAGCGAGGAAACAATATTCCATCTTAACTACAGTTACCAAAAACAACCAACAGAATTCGCGGCCACATTTGTCGGATCAGAGTCACGCGATGAAGGCGAAGTTCGCGTCGAAACACAGGCGTCTGGTGATGAGCGTGTCGAGACCGAGGAGCTGTCCGTTAGTAGGCGTATGGTCGAGGTGGAAGTGGAAGGAGTTGTAATGCGTGGTGTTCGTGAAGCATCACCCCTATTACTTCATACAGAATCCGCATCCGAATCCGTGGTACGAGTCGAGCAGAGCTTGGAGCGACAACATCATCTACGTGTGGATGGTATGGAAGTGTCGCATGAACGCAGTGAATCCGAGGAACGCAAGAAGGAAGAAAAGAGGTGGTTATTTGAGAACATCTTTCAATTTTATCAATATTTTTCGAATGTACTCCCAAGTGCACGAAGTGCCCGTACAGGGTAGGTGGTCGGTGGGAATGTTTTTAGGAGTGCAGGCATTTCGTGCATCTGGGGTGCTCAAATTCAAACCCTTCAATGTGCCCTGTGTTTGTCCTTACCTGGTATCTCAATCGTGGCTGTTACATTATAATTACGATTTTGTTCCATCAGCCAACACTACGATCATTTCACGACATGCACCAACCTTAAAACTCAGCTGATACCACGTGGGTAAGTTCTGATGCGAGTTGTGGCTCGGATGGTAAGAAATAATGTTTTTGGCTTTGTTTGCGTCCACGTAAAAATTTTATCGCGACCAAGGTCATTGCCAGGATTTAGAATACCAGAGGACAAGCATCTAGTGCAATTGAACGGGTTTCATTAAGAATTAAAGGAATCTTGCGCGGAAAATTCTTGCACTCTTTCCTAACATGAATATGTCAGTTGTGATCACTGGAAATAGCACACAAAGTTTCACGCATGAAGATTCGGTTTCTGAAGAGAAACAAACGTACAAAAACTACACGTTATGGACCATCGAAGGACCAGGAGGCAGAGCCAGGCGAGGCATGGAAAGAAGACGGCGTTTGGCCGGCTACGTACCAGGCGACGCAATGAGAGAATCGGGTTAAAGCGCGCGATTTCGGAGAGTGGAGACAAATCGATCGATGGAATAGGATGGAGTAGAAGTGTAAGATGTGAATGCAACGAAGCAGAAGGCCAGAAAGAGCTTCTAGTGAATGCACTCCAAGAACCAAGTTTGAGCATCCCCGTCGCCAGCATTCGTGAAAGACGTCCGTGGGCAATTCGAACGCGTAGCAGCCTTTTCGAGTTTTCGAATTTCTAATCAAAACGAAAGCAATACTTCAGTTCTTTTCACTATTATCGTGGATAATGAGTCTCAAGCCAGTGATTTATGGCTGAAATAGAATCATGATTTTTCCGCGCAAGATTCCTTTAACTTCACTTTACTAAGTGTACTTCCACGTCATGGCTCGAAAAGGGGGTAGGAAGAGCGCCAGGGGTAACCTAGGACACCGGTTGCTACGCGGGGCCCTCGCTGCCCATCGTTCCGGTGTCTGCGTCTCACTGTTCCTCTTGTTCTATGTGTCGTATATCGGCGTCAGCCGTTTTCTCTTGGTAAACCCGTCCATCACTCAAAAAAAGAGGCCGATTTTTACATCCATTTTTGAACTCTCGGAATCTTACGTATGGAATCGTGGAATGTGCTTTGAAATGCAGACAGGCGAGTAAGTGAGAGGTGAATTAAAGTGTCCACGAGGCTCAAGTTCACTCGGCCATAATTTTCAGTTTTAAATTCCTCTTAGATTTCCGTCTCCAGCTCTGGAGCACGGAACTGTATGTACCGATTCAGGCTCAGGTAATTGCTGAGCTTGCATCAGCTGCGCCTCTCACTTGCCCCTCTTCTGCAGAAACTGGATCACAAATTTGCTACTTCACAAGTTGTGGTGGCCGCGCCATTTCAAATGCTAATTGCTTACGGTGATACTCCAGTTCGGGGGGGGCTTGTTTTCTCCATTTACTTAAGAAAAGGAGTGAGAGAACGCTCATGACACGGTAATACTCGTTTAACTTATAACTATTAAACTGTTACATTCTGATGAGTATCGGTTGTAAAGCGGGAAGAAAACCACAGATCGCTTTACACATTTCCGCCTTTGCACATGGTCAGGGAAACGTCTGCTAGACAGGCTGGAGAATGGACACCTTTGCCTAGCCTAAGTGTTTTACAACTCCAAGGGTGGATCGACCTTGGATCGGATGTTAGTGCAGGGTGTGTGAAGCTAAGGCCGATGTCAGACTTTGCGAATCGCGCGATTCGCTAGCGTCTGCGGTCGCGTCGCGGCCAGTGAATCACTCAATTGGCTGGTACCGCAACGCGACCGCGGACGCTAGCGCGAATCGCGCGATTCGCAAAGTCTGACATCGGCCTAAAACATCAGCGGGGTCGCTTCTTCAAAAATATCGCTAGAAGTCGCTTACTTCCTATCTTATCCATTGTATTGAATAGCCTGGAAAAGTGCTCTCCTAGTACCATGAATAAGATAGCAATAGAGTGCCCCCCACCCCGAACTGGAGTTTCACCTTGCTTACTATGAAGTATGATAGGACCAATTACTAGCTTAACGCGGCCCAGCACAATACTTGTTTTCATTGTCAACACTTAAATTACGCACGGTGGTTGCCTCATAGGCTGTCTTCTAGAAAAAAGGCTTGAAAAGGTTCAATTAGGCTCCTCGATCGTGGCTTACATTTATGGGAAATGACAGTGTGCACGATTTTGTCGATAAGACTGTGCAAACAAGCGATATGTCGTGCACATTTTGTTCACGAAACATGAGACAAACAGAGAGGCACCCTGCGTTACTAAGCGTTGAACAGGAGAAAATATAGTACAGTGAAAAGAGCAAAAATAAGGCAAGAGTCTGAAATTTCAGATCACCAGAACCAGACATTTACAAGTAACTTTGAGTTGTGGTTTGCCATAGAAAATAGATAATCCTAGTAGTAGCCTCACTCATGGTTTTGCGGTTCAGGACAGCTCGATACTGGAAATTCTAATAGCACTTCTTCCAAAGATTAAAGCTTTTTAGAGCTTGACTAAAATAAGATTCTGTGTGTCAACTAGTCACATAACAACCAAGTTGTCCTGCGGTTGCCAAAACTACTAGGGATGTTCTGCTCTTGAAAAAGATTGTCATATTCAGGGTGAGCTTCGCCTCAGAAGTCACCGAGAAGACAATGGAGATGATCGATCACAGTCTCGACATGAACATGACGATGACTGTGGACCAGCACTTTCGCAAAAACCATTCGATCATCAGAAGCGATGAAGAAAGGACGCGAGCATCGTAACCGAAATGAAACGCAACGAAGCCCGTCGATTGTGATGACCACTTTTCTTGAGTGAGTCACTGTAGTATACCATGACAACACTGCACATTTCAGTGCTCCAATGCGTCGCAACAGTCTTCTACAAGCGCTCGCCGTCGGCAGTCCACACAATATCCCGCATTTCAAAACCCTACAGGACATCATTCGCGCTATAAAACAAGTAAGACATATTTTCTATAATCAGTACTGTACTATCACCAGGAAGTCAAAATTTGGGTTGAAGCGGTAACAGGACAGCATTTTTGGAAATATCATTGCTATAAAAGGAGAAATTTGAGACATCCAGCACAACAACCAGCCACCCCACCCGGTGCCGCAACTTGCTTTTGTCTCCCGTTCTAAACCCAGCTGCATTTCGATGCGCATTTCAACTACACATTTTCAACCCCTTTACAGGACTGGTCCCCTAAGTCAACCGTGGGCGAGCATCTTGAGGAAAAGGATTTTAAAGGACGGGTTCTTTCTCCTTCCCCTCTCATAACTAGTATTATTTTTTATTTATTAATTATTTTATAACAAGTAAGGGGAAGTTGAAACTTCGGCATAAACAAGACAGAACAAATACGTACTTTGACCATAATTCTTTCTGCACTGACTATTTTCTTTGGATGACGGGGCGGAATCTTTGTCTTTTTCTGATCCCTGGACCAACCCCATGCATTGGTAATCGGCATCATGCCACTGCCCACCTCCAAGCGTGCTTAAATTTTAAAAATCTGGGTAACATCAACGATTTCAGGCCGGACTCGAATATTCCAATCTGATATTCGGTATCGACTACACCAAGTCGAATTGCTATCAAGGTGAACGAACCTTCGACGGTCGAACACTTCACGACTTGAGTCCACATGAAATGAACCCACCAACAGGTTTGAATTTCGAAATTATTTTCTCTAGCAAGTTTTCTATCAGACCGAGTTCTCATTACAATTCGAGATATGGTTTTCATTTGAATCCCTTGTACCTTTCATTCATTTAATAGCACTACTTCTATTTTCACATTCAGTTTATTTGGCGCAATCGCAAAATACGGGGCACCCTTCAGGTCTAAGCCTAGGAGGGAACAGAAGCTCCGGGGAAAATTAAAATGGTTAGCGCCCTTGGGGTCTCGCCTTAAGGCTGAGTCCCATTTTCAACGAAAAAAGAAACTTAGGCGGTTCCAAATGCAATGCCACCACACTGCCCCATATATTGATAGCATCCGTTTATTTTTATATTTTCACATTTTTAATTTAGCCTTATTAGTTATGAGTGTCGATCTCACATATTCTAGGTGATAGAAATCGTCGGAAAAACGTTGTCGTCATTCGATGCGGACGGGATGATCCCAGCATATGGATTTGGTGATGAGGAGTTCACCGATAAGGGAATTTTCAACATCGCTGATCGATATGACCTCGAAAAGGATTGTAATGGATTTGAAGGTAAAAAAAAGTAGTGATCTATACCGAAGTAATTGTGGTCGATATCCCTGGACTTCTATTCTAGGGGGCTTGATTGTGCGCGGCAGCAGGTCACCACACGACGTCGCGCCGCGGTCGTGCGGCGAGCGCGGAAATTGGTCTGAGCTGTCCGCTCGGTGAAAGATCGGGTGAAAATGAAGACATGGCACTATAGTACGTGTCTCGTTGAGAGCGGGAGAGTGCGAAAAGTCTGCTGCTCAATTCAATTAGCGTGCATGCCGAACGACAAGATGTCCGCGGCGTCGCGTAGTGACCTCTTCTTATCGTATCAATACTCGCGAATCAGCCTGATTTCTGTAAAACTACCTAGCTACACGTGCCATAATTCCAGGTGGCTATTTTCAGAGGTGCTCAGGGTCTACAATGAAGTCACGCCAAAGGTGGCGATGAGTGGACCGACGAACTTTGTCCCATTGATTGGTAAGTCGAGATTTTTCTACACCCTTCTCAATTTCATGATCGAATTCGAAATAGCTGGAACCAATTATTGATCTCAGGAAGGTTTCTGGAATCACTACCGAGAGGTTGAAACAAGCGCATTTTTCAGAACGAGCTGTTGAAATCTGCAAAGAGAAAGCACTCGTATCATATCCTTGTGATCGTTGCTGATGGCCAAGTGACAAACGAGAAGAATCAATCAGAAGGCGATCGCCGCCGCATCGCATTATCCACTTAAGTATCATTATGTAAGTTAGAATCCATGGTTCGCTTTTGCTTCCCGACTGAACTCCGGCATCATTTCAGGGTGGGTGTTGGTGACGGTCCATGGAACATGATGGGACGATTTGACGACAACATTCCCAAACGATTATTCGACAATTTCCACTTTGTCGACTTCCACAAGGTTTGATCTGATTCATTATAGCACTAGTTAGCCTAAGCAGTGTCATATCCCGTAGCCTGCGTTCCTGAAATGGATGGTGCGGATCACGTCGCGAGACGAGTTCTAGTTCTATCGATTGGAAAAAACTTTGCAATTATTTGCTCCTCGTTCCTGTTTTCGAATGTCTCTTGAAAAGACTTCACTGAATCATCAAGAGCAGCAAAACACTCAATAATTAAAGGAATCTTCCACGGAAAAAGCTCCGCCGCCCTTACCACAGAAAACGATACCTTAAAGGAATCTTCCACGGAAAGAGTGATCATTTTGTCTTGTGTGTAGGATTAGTATTATCGAAACTAACGCTTATGTTCCGTTCTTTTTGCTATGCTCATGAGGCTAGGGGCCTAAGGTATCGTTTTTCTGTGGTAATGGAGGCGGAGCTTTTTCCGCGGAAGATTCCTTCAAGTATATTGCAAGGGAATCGGTCAAGAATGCGAAAATTTCGGCGTGGTGAAGCACAAGCGCTCCGTAGCCGGGATTTGAGAGACAAACTTTTTTCTGCATATTTTTTGACCAAGATCGAAGGCATGAGGTTGCGGAAAATTCTCCAGTGGTACCATCCCCTTTATCAACATACTTGCCCAAAGTGATAGACATCACGGCTAACTTAAAGAATGGTGCAAGGAAAACAATACAAGATAGCTCTGCCAACACGACCTTTCAAATAAATGGTATTGTCTTCTCGTCCTTCACAATTGCCGATTTCGAACCTCGTGTTATGTTTTTCTGTGATACCTCTTAAAGGAATTTTACCGAGTAAAAGCCTCCGCCTCACATTATCCACAGAAATCTACTCGGCCATAGCCTCAGGGAGCAAAGCAAAGAATTGGAACATAAATGTTAGTTCAATAATATTGATTCCTACAACAGACAAATGACCACTTTTTCCGTGGATTCCTTTAACCATGAGGAACGCTTTCATTGAAGATAAGTTTCATTCCCGTGGATAAACCCTTTGCATTCAGAAGCGTCATTCCATGAACTTAAAGGTGTTCATCATAATGCCGAGGGGGAGGTCACACAGAGACACAGCTGCTGCTGCTTACAAAATTCCGATTCTTGCAGGGAGGAGATCCCAGGGGTGCGCCAATCACTTTGCTGTCGCTTTTCCACCCACCAATGAGCGAAAAATTGGATTATGTGAACTGTCCCTCCTTACTGGATAAGACCCGAACTTAATGTCACAGTGCAAGGGCATGCTTTTTTTTGCTAGACACCTATTTTATTGCCTGTCACAACTTCGCGCTCTGTTCACAGCCTTAGGCTTCTCCAACCTCATAACAGCAACAAAGGGACCAAAACGGTCCTTCTAGCTTTCCCCTCAAGAAATTGATCCTAAATCAAATCCTCCGTGCTCATAAAAAACTTCGACATGGTCAGATTTATTTCACTTGTTTAGGTGATGTTCAACGCGCCGAACCCAGAAGCGTCGTTTGCACTGAATGCCCTCATGGAAATTCCGGATCAATACAAAGCAATTAAGGAGCTCGGGCTGTTGAAACACAGTCGAAGGGGATAAAAGCAGTATAAGTATACGATATCGGCCGAGCGAACATTGTAGGCCCGTCGACGATGTGCACACCGACAAAGCAAATATGGCGATCTCAAAAAATCGATTGTTATTTTTTAATAGGTGAAGTTTTAAGAGGTCATACGGGATCGCCTGCTTTTATGTGTGCACACGACGACGGGTGAAAACGATCACAAACGCTTACCGCCGACGTCCAAATTTTACTGCTCAACAATCTTCAAATTGAAGATGCTTATAGCGTGAAATTCGGCAACGGCGGCGAGCGTGTCGCGTTGCGTCGCGTCTCCAATTTTTTGTTGCATATGTATCGATTTTGAGGAAACATTCATGGAGCACCGCATCGCAACGCGACACGTCGTCGTCTGCGTTTCTAAGCGCTTTCACATGCACTTTTGAGCGCGCGTTTTTGTGATATAGTATCCTAGTTGTAGTCAGGTGTCGTTGTGACCGAAATAACAAGCACTCAAGCAATTTCGCGCCTCATTTCCCACACATACACACATGGAATGCGGACATTGTATTGTTTGTTGTAATTATTGTTATAAAATAAAATGAGCAATGCATTTTCGAATAAAAGCTCTTTTTTTAACTCATGTTAATTTCTTGTTGTTGCAATGCTAGTCGGGTGGGCACACCGATTTTTTGGATACGGTAGGCGTGAATGTATGTAAGTGGGGAGTGGTGCTCACTGTTATGGTGCCACGAGAATCGATAGACTGAGCCTCGAGGGTGGGAGACCTTTCGTGCCATTCAGTGCGAAGCAGTGAGTCCCTTGCGGTATCCTTCCTACTAGTCGGGCTAACCCCGGGGTTTGCCTTTATCGGTGCGGGCCGACAAGCAATTCGCGGCATAAGATACCCTCCCCTTCAAGAAGTC